ACTTGGCCACTTTAAGATGAGTGGACTTCAACTCCCAGAATTCCCCAGCCAGCATTGAAGTGGCCAAGTTTGGACAACACTGGCCTAGGCCTTGTGTTAGGATGGATGGAGGCCCATATTGGATGTGTTCTTGTCTATGTTTTTGTATAGGCCCAATTTGTTTTGCTTTGTTTTGCATTGTTATGGTTGATTATATTGTGAGCTTCCTGGAGTCAGTTTGGAGTTGAGTGGTGTCTAAATTGAATTAAATCAATAAATCAATCTGAGTTCTTATTCCAACACACTAACAAGTTATATCTAAGGGGGTGAAAAACTAGAATAAGTAGCTACATAAGTATTTATGTAGCTTGTGGAATGTTTACTAAAGATGGGAAGATGGATGGAAAACTTTTATTATCTGCAAATACTGCTAGAGATAGTGGACAATACGTGATCTGCTATGGGGAATGAATATTGTTTGAAAAGAATGCAGATGGCTACATGTAAGGGCATGAGAGTTAAGCGTGTTAGGAGAAACAATTGTTATGTTGATGCAGTGGAACTGAAGTATATGTGGTAAAATTAAAAAACGGTCAAAGATGAATGAGCACTGAATCAATGTAGATTGAATGTAACAGTATGAAATAAGTATACTATACTGAGGTGGTTTGGTCATTTAGAGAAAATGAATGACAACTTAATTGCAAGAGAAACATATGAAGGAGGAGTTTAAAGAATGAAAAACATGGTATGAACCTATTGGAAGCTACAATAATTTACAAGGATAGAAAGGTATGGAGAGATATAATGAATGATGCTGGTGTAAACTAGATGTGGCTGTGTTTTATTTCCTTATTTCATGTCTTTAATTTCTTTGGCTTATCACTTCTTACTCTCTTTCTGCATTTTGATATGCTTTCCCCCAAAAGAAATAGAATGAGATAGATAGATAGATAGATAGATAGATAGATAGATAGATAGATAGATAGACAGACAGACAGACAGACAGATAGATATAAACTCAGTCTTCCTCAACCTAATGAAAGGTTGGTCCAACTCATCTAGAAGGCACCACAGTGGGTATGATTGAATTAGGCAGACCTTCATCCTATCTAGAACCATGTTTCCTCAAATTCAGCAGAAATGTTGGATCCAGCTTCTTCTGGGTGTTTAAAGAGGCTTGGTACTCACTGACAGTCCCTTCTAGAAGTGCTCATATTGGAAATAAAGTGCAGCCTGAATCTTTCATTCCTATATCCCTGAAGTTGCCAGCTTTTAATATTTGCCTTGCTCCAGTTCCTTCCACAGCACTTTGTAAAAAATGTTGCAAGTCAAGTTCTAATAGAAAAAGTGTGGTCTGCTAAATATCTACTTTGGAAAAGTTCTGGACATTGTCAGGCTTCATATTCCTTGGTTTGAAGCAAGATGTTCTTGAGTTCCTCACTGAAAAACTCAGCAACCATCTAGTGTTGCATTAGAGACTACCAGGAAATTCCAGAGCTGTAGGCCAGACTGGAATATAAAAAAATAGCCCAGATGAAGTCAATAGTAAACCTCTTCTCTAAAAAAAATGACATGAATTTCTCCATGTAGTCACCAAGGTTGAGTTTAGGGCTATCCCATCTGGCCAGCAAAACTCTACACCATCGAGGGCATTAAAGCCTTAAGAGTTTTCTTCATCTCTTTTCTGCACTGGCGGCCCAGATCTGGTATTCTGAAAGATTTTTTTATTTTTATTTTTAAATTTAGAATTTTAAAAAAAATTAACGTTTTCTACTGCACAACTCCTGTCGCTCACACTAATACAGCGTTGCTCAGACTAACTGTATATTTAATTGTATATTTATTTATTGTTTTAATGTGC